AAAAAAAAAAAAAAAAAAAAAAAAAAAAAGAATTTTGAACATAGTAATAACATCTTCTGATAGCATTAAAGCCCTTTGTCTGAATAGCTCTGGAACTCAGAAGGCAGTTATCTCTGAGCTCACAAAGCCAGTCTCATTTGGAAATGCCAAAAACCAGTCCTTGTCTCTCTTAACCAGGAGGGTGTTTGTGTGCATGTATATGTATATTCTAGGAGTGGAGCTGTTTTAACTCAGAAATGAGTCTTGTTCATTTATTTGAGGAAATAAATTGCTCTATGAGTTGGACTGTGTTAACATAACAAGGGAGCAGAGATTCCCACAATCTACTATTAGAAGCAGACTGTGGGCTAGGGACCTGGGTGAATTGGTGAGATTATTTTATCTCTAAAAAAAAAGATCCAAGGCCAACAAAACTGAATCTTGGTGATAAAAAAGAGAGTTGGGTCTCTGAGTCATTAATTCTTCTCTAACTTTTCCCACAGTTACTTACCTCAGTGGCAACCTTGGTCCTCGCACAAAACCTCCTGTTTGACCTGTGTGGTTGGATTCCTGCAAGTAGCAGAGAATGCAAGTTAAGGTTAATCTGAAACAAGAGCTTGTCAGGAGAAATCCTGGACAACCTTTTGGCTGGATCTACAAGTAGAAATGTAATTGAGTTATAGAACTTAAAAGAGTTTTCAGCCTTAAACAATATTAACTCACTTCTGCCTGAATTATTCATGTCCTAATACAAGTGAAAACACTGACAGGAAGAAACCAAGTGGTCTCCTGTTGTGGACCACAGCCTGAACAATTGCACTGCATGGTCATGCACTCAGTGGATTCATGAGATATTAAGGGAAAATTCAAGCAGGCCTTGAAGAGAATTTAAAAATATGTGTTCTTTATTCATTCCGTGATCCCACATAAGAAACATACTGCTCCTAAGTTTAAACACATAGTAAGTGGGGTGGTTATTAGTTGGTTTTGCTTTGAATAGGCAGATCTTATTACTGTTTAGTTTCAACACTTTGCAGTGGGTTTTGAACTAGAAGAAGGTGGGAACATAAAAGAAGCTTGCAGGATGGTCTGAGAGGAAAGGGTGTTCTCGAGAGAAATAAAGGTCCAAGAAGGCAGTATGCTTTTATCACTCCAGAAAAGGGACTGGATGGACTAAAAAGAGTTTTGTAGAAAAGAGAAAAAGAGTAGGAGAATAGGCCGGGCGCGGTGGCTCATGCCTATAATCCCAGCACTTTGGGAGGCCAAGGCCGGTGGATCACGAGGTCAGATCGAGACCATCCTGGCCAACATGGTGAAACCCCATCTATTTTGGGAAAAAAAAAAAAAAAAAAAAAAAAAAAAAAAAAAAAAATTTATAAAAAAAAAAAAAAAAAAAAAAAAAAAAAAAGAGAGATAAGGAGGATAATGTGAAAAATAAAAGACAGGTACAGTTGAAATGTTTTACCCTAATGGTAGATGTCAGAAATTGGAAGTGTGGAGATTAATAGGAAGATTTCTGTAGGGAAGGGATTCAAACTATTGCATTTAAACAGGTTTTCTGAAGATGTTTTAGCCCAAGGATTGGGAAATGAGGATAATACATGGAGAATATTTTCAGATCTTCTGTGGAGTGGGAAGCCAAAAGGATCTCAAAGCCAAAATTTCTTTTTTTTTTTTTTTTAGACAGTCTTGCTCTGTTGCCTAGGCTGGAGTGCAGTGATGCAATCTCAGCTCACTGCAACATCTGCCTCCCAGGTTCAAGTGATTCTCCTGCCTCAGCCTCCTGAGTGGCTGAGACTATAGGTGTGCACCACCACACCTGGCTAATTTTTGTACTTTTAGTAGAGACGGGGTCTCATCATGTTGGCCAGGATGGCCTCAAACACCCGCCCTGGCCTCCCAAAAGAAGTTTAATTAAAACTTGGGAATCTTTGGGTTACTTCGGACTGTTTTCTCCTTCCTATAAATGAGCGAAAACTCACTTTCATGATTTTTAAATTATACTGAATATTTATAACTTTTTCCTTAAATACCAAATGATTAATTGCCAGTAACTGTGATTTAAACATGTTTCAGTGTTATAAAATCCCATTTTAAAAAACAAATTAAGCTTGCCCTTAAAACTTGGTTTGACTAATGAGTTCAGTTAATGCAGTAAGGCAAGTAACCAGCTCATAAACCCTGAAATATTCCAGAATATAATCCATGCCTTATAAATACACTGCTGCCTATATTTTTTCCTGACAAATATTGCCGTGATGCTTGAAAAAAGCATTTATTTCTTTGGCTACCTTTAAAATTAAAACAAACTCTAGCAGATAGGAAGAAACTTTGTTTTTCTCAAAAACTGTAATTATTAGATACACTGATAAGAAAAACTTTTAAAAGAGATGTATAAATTTGAAGTGGAATGACGGAGATGATGTACTATAATAAATGCATAGCTTATGATCCTAATTTTGTACCAAATATTGGCTATAGTTTTTCCTGGGTGATGGTATTTTTATTGGAAATCTTAAACATCTTTTTAATTTCTTAATTTGCAACAGTAAGAAAATTTTGCATCAGAAAAAAATAGTACATTCAAATTCTTTAGGGATGTTAGGCACATCCTAAAAAAATGGTACATTCAAATTCTTCAGGGATGTTAGCACTGCTGTATCTGACATACTCCAAATATTGAGAGAAGGACACAGTTCCTGCAGGAGCCATTGTCTTAGTGTTTGTTCAAGTCTGGGTTCATGCCCAGGTTCTGCTAAGTCTTTGGAAGATAAGTGATTAGGGACGTCCTTCTCTTGATATTCCACACATAACCTATAGGTTCTCTGCATTTGCTTTTTGGTAGTTTTCCTCCAGCTCTGATATCCCTGAACTCTCGTCTTTTTCAACCAGGCTGGCGTGCAGTGGTGTGATCTCAGCTCACTGCAACCTCTGCCTCCTGGGTTCAAGCGATTCTCCTGCCTCAGCCTCTTGAGCTGGGATTACAGGCATGTGCCACCCTACCCAGTTAATATTTGTATTTTTAGTAGAGATGGGGTTTCGCCATGTTGGCCAGGCTGGTCTCAAACTCCTGACCTTGTGATCTGCCTACCTTGGCCTCCCAAAGTGCTGGGATTACAGGCGTGAGCCACTGCACCCAGCCCTTAACTCTGGCTTTTAATGTGTTTGGACAAGCATTTTAGTTTCTGGTGAAGTTGTTTTTCTGCTTGTACTGCCTCTGCAGATTCCATCTTTTTGTTCATCTGCACTGAAATAATATTCCAATTTAAAAATAATTCCCCAGTTTTTTTCTATTTTTTTCTTTCTTTTTTTTTCTGAGATGGAGTCTCACTCTGTTGTCCAGGCTGGAATGCACTGGCGTGATCTCTGCTCACTGTAACCTCTGCCTCCTGAGTTCAAGTGACTCTCCCACCTCAGTCTCCAGAGTAGCTGGGACTACAAGCATGTGCAACCATGCCTAGCTAATTTTTGTATTTTTAGTAGAGATGGGGTTTCACCATGTTGGCCAGGCTGTTCTGGAACTCCTGATCTCAACTGATCCACTCGCCCTGGCCTCCGAAAGTGCTGGGATTATAAGCGTGAGCCATTGTGGCAAGCCTTTTGCTATATTTTTTTAAAAAACAGATATTTCACTGGGCACAGTGGCTTATGCCTGTAATTCCAGCACTTTGAGAGGCCAAGTTGTTGGATCATCTGAGTTCAGGAGTTCAAGACCCAGCCTGACCTCAGGTGAAGTCCAGCCTGACAACATGGTGAAACCCTGTCTCTACCAAAAAATACAAAATTAACCGGACGTGGTAGGTGCATGCCTGTAATCCCAGCTACTCTGGAGGCTGAGGCAGGAGAATCACTTGAACCTCGGAGGCAGAAGTTGCGGTGGGCTGAGATCACACCATTGTACTCCAGCCTGGGCAACGAGAACAAAATTCTGTTGCAAAACAAACAAACAGATATTTCTCCCAAGACCACACTCTTGTCTGCTGGAATTACTGAGTGGCCTTCACATGTTTCTTATCTTTTTCTTCCAAAAATCAAGAAATAGCATCACTTTTTTTTTTTTTTTTGAGACAGAGTCTTGCTTTGTTGCCCAGGCTAGAGTATAGTGGCACGATCTAGGCTCACTGCAACCTCCACCTCTGGGTTCAAGCAGTTCTCCTGCCTCAGCCTACAGAGTAGCTGGGATTACAGGCATGCACCATCACAACTGGCTTATTTTTTTGTAGAGACAGATTTCGCCATGTCGGCCAGCTGGTCTCGAACTCTTGGCCTCAAGTAATCCATCCACCTCAGCCTCCCAAAGTGCTGGGATTACAGGCGAGAGCCAGCATGCTCAGTCCAGCACCACTTCTTATGTCCTGAATTCATATTAGCCGGTCTCCTTCTTGCACACAGTGTTTCTTCTCATGAGTCAGCTTCTGTGCTGTACCTTTGATTCCTCACATACACTAAGCAGCGTCTCCCAACTCTCCTTCTATGCTGGTTGGCAGCCTCCTTGGGGGATGCTGTGGGAGCCTTGTGTTCCTATGGTAGGCAACAGGGCGCACAGAGGTGTCTGCTCCTGCTGAGAGAATGGCTCCTGAAGCTCCCGATGTTCTTCACCCTGGAGTCCCTCATCATTTAAGCAGAGAAAGCAACAAATGCACCATCTTACTCTGAGATGGAAAGTCCCCCAGCACTCAAGGCAGAAAAAACAAGTCAAGAGTTTTTGTCCTATGTCTCAGTCAGGAGACATCTTTGGCAAAGACCATGCCTATCCTCATGGGTCATTATACTGGTGCCCTCATCGACACTTTAAAGTAGTTTTTTTTTTTTTTTTGAGACAGAGTTTCACTCTTGTTACCCAGGCTGGAGTGCAATGGCATGATCTCAGCTCACTGCAACCTCTGCCTCCCAGGTTCAAGAAATTCTCCCGCCTCAGTCTCCTAAGTAGTTGGGATTACAGGCACGCACCACTACGCCTGGCATAATTTTTAGTACAGACGGCATTTCACCATGTTAGTCAGGCTGGTCTCGAACTCCTGACCTCAGGTGATCCCCCTGCTTCAGCCTCCCAAAGTGCTGGGAATACAGGCGTGCGCCACTGCACCTGGCCCATACCTTTAAGTCTTTATGGCCTCTGTTCCAAAACTCATTCAGCAATTGTAGTTCTCAAACAAAGGTATTTTCTTAGGCACAGATTGACTTTCAGGCCCCAGAAATCTATATGCGTGACTTTGAGGCAAATCGTTTAACTTGTAGTCTGATTCATCAACTCTTCTTCCTTCAGACTCAGTGTGTTTATTATGGTATGCATTTATTATGGTATAGTACTGAATGTTCTGACTCCCTTTGTAAACAATGCAGGACAGGATTTTCCTCAAGCTGTCAAGTGAGCTTCAAACACTATGGCTATAGTATCTTTCCAGGTGGTTTAGTTTATTCTAACTTCCTTTTTTTGTTTTTCTGAAATGTAGAAGTTGCTTGTGGACTGCTTAGGACTAAACATAATAATAACATAATAATACTAACTATTTCTTTTCTTTCTTTTTTTTTTTTGAGGCAGAGTCTCGCTCTGTCGCCCAGGTTGGAGT